ATTGAGTAGAAGACAGAAAACTGTGTGGGGCAGAAAACATGAAACAGCTGTGTTTTCAGCAGGAAGGTTCACAGTATTCAAAAGTGATCCCTCAGCTCTTCTTACAAGACAGTGAAATTTTGCTTCCCTGCTGAAAATGAAATAATTAATTTTGGGAAAGATGGAAAAAAATTCAAAGGTGTAAATTAGAAAGTGTAAAAAGAGACAACATTTATAGAAGACTACTATTCTCAGCTTTCCCAAGGCAAATTCCCTATATATTTCCTGGACAAGGTCTTGTTTAAAATGGTTGCGCAAACATGTCTTCCTGCAGTTCAATCTCTCTTCTCTCACACCTGCAGTGTGAAGAAGCTGATGTGTGGTGGGAAGAGCAAACTGAACCTGCTGTGTGCCAATGCTGAATCGCTTAGAGGCCTAAAAAAGCTTCTTGCCTAAAAAAAAGCTGATGAACCAGTCTTACTTTAGGGCAGGTGGAATAGTTTGTGCTCTCATTTTTATCGTTAGCTCTAAGAGGGAAAGACATATTTGTTTTCACATGGTTATTGATTATTAACCAGCTTTGTGAAAGGTTACCTTTCTGCTAGATAGAGCTATGGTGGGGGGTTAAAAATCAATCCCTGGGAAAGCTGTTTCCCAGTCACCTTCTCCCACTGAGGTCCCTTGCCATGGATGGAGTTTACACATGTTGGTCTGAGCAGAGATGAGAGAGAAAAGGAGGTTATTGTGAATATGCTCCACTCACCTTCAATACTTCTATTCTGTCTAAATATGGATTCCAGAAAAAGGTTTGAGCACTGGGAAGTCGTTAAATATTATACAGATAGAGAAAATCTAACCAGACTACTTTATGAAGTGTGACTGAACTATACTCCTTACTATTTTACACTCTCATTAGACAGTCAGGATGGTGGGAGAAATGACAAAACTGTCATCATTTATAACAGGAAAGGGAGCTAATTGACTAGGGGGTTCACAAATTATTTGTGTTGAAAGGCAAACAAAATGCTCCTGTCACCTTTCCTAGGGGAAAAAAGTACTGCTGCATCCAGATTTACATTTCACTGATCAAAGCAGCCTGCAGTGTTGTCTGTCAGACACTACCGGGGAAGACTTCCAAAGAACAGTGACCCACATCAAACCCCTGTATTAACCATTTGGAGGTAGGAACTTGCAAATACCCTTGAATTTCAAGAGGTGTGTTGTATATGTTGGCATACATTTTAAAACCACATAAATATGATGTCAGGTGACCTTGCTTTCTGAGCTTCTGACCATCCAGAGATTTGTATTATATTGCAAAGTTTTAGGTTTCATATAATATAGAATGGCTTAACTATGTAGATTTTGTCTTCTTTGTCAAACACCAGGCTAGAGGGATGTGATTGGATCTTGAATAGTCCTTAAAACATACTTCAATCTAATATGCTAACTCAAGTATTGAAGTGCAGTTATTGTGTGATGGTACTGCCGGACTGCAGCACTTGTGTACCTGCTCAAATATCTGAGCTCCTGTGCTTGTGATGAGTGAGGATAATTGCAACCTGCTGTTCTGCTTTACACTGCTGCTGTCACCATCATCCCTTAATTACTGGTACAGGGTCATGGACTCCTTTTTGTCCAATCTTTTGGACTAGCAAGGTGACTATAAGAATTTCTGTTTATGTGTGCAAATACCTTAAAGGTGAGTGTCAGAGGATGGGGTAAGACTCTTTTCAGTGGTGTCCAGCAACAAGACAAGGCACAACAGGCACAAACAAAAACATGGGAAGTTTCATTTGAATATGAGGAAAAACCTCCTTGCTTTGAGGTTTACAGAACACTGAAACAGGCTGCCCAGATAGGTTCTGGATATATTAAAATCTGGAGGGTGTTCTCAGCCTGAACTACAACTGTATTAATTGGGTTTTTGGGACCATGCATCAGACACACCGAGCTTTTCAGCTCCATGGATGAAGTTAGGGGATTTAAGCAAACATACCAGCCATAAATATCCACAAGTTATGGGGGACTTCTGCAGTCCTTTAAAATTTCCTAGAGCAAGTAAAGTACAGGATCTCCAGCTGAACTGCAGCATACATCCAGGTGGGGTTTAAGGTGGGGGGAATTCTACCTGATCCATTGATGATTTGTTTCTGTGTGCAACATGTCCATTACTTTTCTCTGTTTTCAATGGTTAAAACTTGACTGTACATCTATTTGTGGGAATAAAGATGTTTTTATCAGCCATTTTTTCTTTCCATGATTGTCTATAGACTGAGGATGGACAAGTTGCTTGTCATTCCAAGCCTGCCAAAACCACAGTGGGAGAGTAAAGACAGGGAAGTTCTCAGCAGGGAGAGGACAATGTATATACAGGAGAATCTGGGCTCACCATTCAATGTCCACAAATGAGTTAGAGGCAAGAATGCACCTTTTAATTTCTTACATTGAGCCTACATATCTCAAGGCTCTTCTAGTTGGAAGATTAAGACTGTTTAAAGGCAGGTAGTTGCAGGATCAGCAGTGTCTCACACGGCAGCACTTAATCTGGGGAATACTTCACTGCAAGGTGTGGGAGGCAAAATGTTTACATAAAGTTTCGGGGGAGAATGAAAATGTGGAAAAATCAGCTGAGGACTGCTACATTCATAGCACTCAGGAACTCCTTGGAGCAGAAAATTTGGGGAGTTTAGTAGATGTTTTGGTGTCTTGTATACACACCCTTCTACAACTCTCTCAGGGATGCATATTGACCACTTTCAGGGACAGATTTGTGTCTGCAGAGCCCAGTTCTGTGGCAAGTGGGGCCATTGGCCATTCCCATCATTCCCATCGGCCTCCTCCATCACTCATTTTCCGCAACAAGTGGCTCATTTCCCGCTCCGGTGGGACATATTGACTGCTCAGAGACTTCTCCTGGGAACCCTCAGCTGTGGAAGGACTCAAGCCAAGTATCAGTGATTGCATCGCAGGTCGAGGAGGCAGGCAGATCTGTCTCCAGCCGAGCTCATCTCCTCCAGGATCCCGGGCTGCCGGACATCAGCACCCCCAGGACGTGACCGGGGTCCCCAGTGCCGGGATACCCAGCGGGGCCCTTCTACTGCACTGCAGCTCGCTACCTTGTTGTCAGAACGGCAACGCGTGCCCTTATCGCCTGCTCATGCAGGCAGAATGAAAGAGAATTAGCTCTAAATTATACGAAATTCATTTGCTTTGGAGGGTGAAGTGTTTGCTCTGTTTAGAAACGTTCGTTAGAGAGAGAGAACCGCATTAAGACACCGGGTAATGGTCCTCCCAGGAGATGAATCAATTTTCTCTGGGTTTTATGGCCTGGGGTTTGTTTGTCCGCACCGGTTCCCCGTGGAAAACCCGGAGCAGTAAATGCTCCAGGTAACAGATCTCTGGGGAAGGGGCTGTGAGTGTTGCTCTGGGGTCGGGGCACAAGACGTCTCGGATCAAAGGACACCCGTGCCTGCGAGAGACCTGAGTGGAGGCATTGTGGACGCGGGTGGGGGAACCACCACGAAGGGAGCTGCGCCTCCCCGCTCGGCTCACACTGCGAGCCCCGCCGGGCCGCGAATCCTACCCGGAATGCCAGGGGATGGAGGGGGCAGGTGCCGGGCTCAGGGAGCCTGAGCAGCAGCCATGTCTATCTGTAATTCCCGCTAATAAAATACTTTTTCACTATCCGCACTATAATTGGTTTACAGCCTCTTTTGTTTATTTATCCATAAGAGCTGCTGTTAAATGGCTTGGGAAAGCAATCGCTTAATGGCTCAATATTGAATCAAAGGCTCAGTGTGCTTTCTAAGAGATGGGGGACCCGCGTGAGTCCAGAGCGGAAACTCAAAGTGTAATGGACTGGGCGGGTTTATGATCCCATGGATCAGGGCACAGGAGCGAGGGACCGGGACCCTCCTGCCTCGCCCCTCGGGGCGTGCATCACCACTGGCCGAGTCGAGTTCTGCCGGACCGAGCCGAGACGAGCCGGGCAGAGCCGGGCCGGGCCGAGCCGGGCCACCCGGTCCCGCCCTACATACAGAGCCGGAGGGAGCGCACCCCGAAGAAGGCAGCCGGAGCGCCGGCGTCGGGGAAGCGGAGAGGAGAGAAGTCGGGCCGGGCGGATAGGAAGCGTGCCTGCGCCCGAACAGGAGAGAGCGGCGGCCGGCCCGAGCGCAGGGAGGCAGGAAAATGATCTTTGTCCCTTTCGGTAGCTCTCCGCCTCCTCATAACTTCGTCACCAAGTCAACCGGCACCAGCTCGGAGCACATTATCTCCGAGGGTCAACACATTGCAGCCCAGGCCGCGGGGAAGGCTCCCAAATTTACCTCTTGGACAAACAATCCGCTGCCTATCGCTCGCTCTGGTGATAGCATTGTGGTCCCCCACCGGCCGGTGCTGGCCTTCTCCCAGGTCTCCGGAACACGGGTACCCCCGCGGGAGCGTCCTGCCCGTCCCTGGACACTCACATCCCTAGGGGAGATGCCCTCACAGCCAAAAGTGCCCTGTCGCTAAACCCCTCCAGGAGCCGAGTTTACCCCGGCCCTCGGAGGGTTTTCCTCCCCGGGGGTCACTGGGGGATGAGCAGCTTCTGGGCAAGCGCGGGGGAGAGGGAAAAGATGACTTTAAGCACCATCCGTCCCGGAGCGCCCCGCGCATCGGCGCAATCCCCTGAGCCCCTGCCCGGCCCCGCAAGCCCACCGCCGCGGGACTCCTCACCCCAAAGCAGGGAGCAGCGCCCAGCAGAAGGGTAGGGGGTCTCGGGGTCGGCCCGGCAGAGGGGAAGGAAGGGGGTTGCGGGACCAGGGCCACTCCGGGTGGCCTCCTAGGGCCCGCGCCCCGCCCCGGAGGGTTGCGGGAGGGCTCACGTGGGGAGAGGCGCCTATGGGGAGGCGGCGGGAGCCGGGCAGGGCGGTGGGGCCCGGCGGGACCGCCAGCTGTCAAAGAGGCATCCCGGGCTCCGCCAGCGGGAGCAGCCTTATGTGTCCCTAAGCTGCGAAGCCCCCTTGGCCCCGCTCGCCATGAACACCGAGGAGCAGTATTACGCCTCGGCGCAGCTCTACAAGGAGTCGTGTGCGTTTCAGAGAGCCCAAGCGCAGGACTACAACCCCAGCCCCCCCGCCTGCCTGTACATGGGCAGGCAGCAGCAGACTCCTTATTCCAGCGCCTTAGGGGCTCTCGAGCAAGGCAGCCCTCCAGACATTTCACCTTACGAGGTGCCCCCCATCACTGAGGATGCCGGGGTCTCCCACCTTCATCACCATCACCATCACCCTCATCTTCCTCCTCCCCACCAGGACGCGCTGCCTTTCCCAGACGGGGCGGATACGGGGGCTATAGAGGAGCCCCGAGTGCAGGTGCCTTTCGCCTGGATGAAGTCCACCAAATCGCACGCCTGGAAGGGACAGTGGACCGGTAAGCCCCGCCGCATCCCTCTGCCCCCCACGCTTCTGTCCCACTCGGCGCTCAGCAGCCCTCCCTTGCATCGGTCTTGCTCCCACCGCTCGGGTGTGTGGAGCGGCCCTGGGGGGTCGTTTCCCCTCTGCCAGCCTCTGCAGACCCACTGCTCTAGGGCTGCTAGTGTTGGGTTGAACGCTGTGGAGAGAGCCGGCTCCCCAGTCCCCGCCGGCGGGCTCACCGCTCCCTGCGCCTCAGCAATTATTAACGAATTATTTTTCACCAATTAACTAATTGTGGCCAAGCCGGGACGTCGTGACTCCTCCCGGGAGCTACTTCCTCGGGCAGCACAGTGTCCCCGCGGGCGCGGTGAGCTCCGAGCAGGGGCCGGGTGGCGGAGGCACCTGCGAGGTGGAGCGGGAGGGGAAGCGGCAGGCAGGGCAGGCGGGAGGGGACAGCCCCATTGCCCCGCGTCCCTGCGTCCACCGTGCGGCCGCGGAGCAGCCCCCGAGCCCTCAAGGCAGCCGCCGAGACCCTCTCAGCTGCCTCTCGGCTCTCTCCGGCGCAGAGCCCATCTCCCCTCCCGGCCCCTCTATCCCGCTCCTCCTCCTCCCCCGCGGGTTTTAGCCACAAATGCACCTCTCCGAGTGAAAAAAACAGGGCACGGAAAACAATGCACAAACGAAACAGAGTTGCCAGTGAGGGGAAGAAACTCTATCTAGGCAGAAAGTTCCGCTGCCCAACAATATTTCTGTCTCTGCCGGCACAATGTTATCGTGTCCTGCGCCTCCGTCACACCTATACGGCAAATATTATATTAATGGCTTTGTTCAAATAGACAGTTGGAAAAAGGATCGGAGTATTAAAATCTCCACGAAATAGTTTGGGAATTGCATGGTGCAGGCCAAGGGGGAGGGAAGGACAGGTGGCGGTCCCTAATGTCCCTAGAGGCGCATCCGCCCACCAAGGTAGAAGAGCGTGCTGTCCCAGCCCGCGAACACGGCGGCACGGATGGTGCCAGGGTGGAGGTGGGGAGAGAGAGAAAATCAGATTGTTTTCCATGAGCTCAGTAAATTTCGGGAATACTACTATTAATGCTACTAATAATAATAATAATATAAAGCCAAACTTTTGAACCACACTTTTTTTTTTTTTCCCTCCTGTACCCGAAGAATGACAAAACCAGCAGGAAAGCGAATCTTTCCCCGTGGAAGCCTAAAATTCTTGCCTGTTATCCCCAGCCCTCCCGGGAGGAGCAGGCAGGGGCTGTGCATGACTCGGTCGGTGTGATGTATGCAGGGTTCCTGCCGGAGCACTCCGCAGGAAGGGAAAGGGGCACCGCGCTGTGCCGAGTGCGGCAGAGCGCTCACAGCCAAACCCCGGCATATTTTGTACCATGTATGTGGCAAACTATATGGCCCGATGATTTACTTTTCCTTGAAGCCCTCGGGATTTAGGCGTCCATGGAGGCTACCGGGCTTTGTGCTGCTGCCAGGAAAAGGCTCCCAGGGAGGCCCGGCGAGCCCGGCCGGTGCCACATGCCGTGCCCGGCCCCGGGCTCACCCCGGGCTCATCGGCCTTGTCCCGGGGCCCGACGGACCTCGGCCCTCCAACAGACCCCGGGAGTTCCGCTCCAGTTTAGTTTAAAGTAACAGAACAAGGTATTTTTTTCAGATACAAACTCATGTATGCATAAGTTTAGATTTGCCAACATTTTTATACATATCTACATTGGTTTTAATATTTATTTATATAGCACATAGGTATATACACATGACTATGCAAACATAAGTGTATTTAAATATATATTTTAAATACATATATAAGTTTTATACATAGGTTTACATTTATACATTTACACTGTATATATAAATACAAAATCATGGGAATAGGAAGATGAACTGTGGGAGAGTCCATGTATCTCTCTTGAAATTATTATTTCATTCTGGATGTTTAAAGCACCGTTCCCCGCAGATGGTGTCAACCCCAAAAACGTTCTCAGAGAGGCGCTGGCACTGGCAAAAGCGGCCCTGAGTTTCCATGCCCACCTCTAGCCCCTCTCGATGTGCTCGCCCGTGCTACCCGCGCCCCAGTGCCCACGCAGGACTGCGGCGGCCGCGCTGGGAACGGGCATCCCGCCGCTGCCTCTTTTTACAGGAACAAGAAACCCAAGGTTTCATCAACGTGGCGAAATGGAGCGGCTGCGGTTCAACTCCCGGCCCGGCCCAGGAGGCCCACTAATGATAATAATTATTATTGCTTTCTTTTAGAGGAGTTTCTTTGGTGTGTTAGACTTTTTTTTTTTTTTTTTTGACGGTTTTTTGAGGGGTTAATTTTTTTCCATTTTGCTTTGGTTTGTCTATGTCTTCTTTTCTTACTTTTTTTTTTAATTATTTTTTAAATTTTATTTTAACGTGAACCTGAACAATTGCGGCTCTGGATCCGGGAGCGTTTCTGAGCTTTCAGTTTCACGCCGACGGTGGCACATGAGTTTCTCCCTCAGCTCCAGAAACGGCGCTTCCCTGAAAACCTCATCAAAATCATTGCTAAAAAATATTAAATTTTGCAAAATAAAATAGCAGCAGCGGTGACTGCCACCAGCAGCACCACCTGACGGCCCAGCAGGAGAGCTCCCCGAGGCCTCCCCATCACCCCGCTTGCTTCCCCCCGCGTATCCTCCGCGCCGCGCAGGGTTCGTGGGACGTGGTCCCCGCAGCCCGAGAGGGTGGTCGGGCTGGCCCAGGCTGACTCTCGCTTCTCTCCAGGTGGATCCTACATGGTGGAACCGGAGGAGAACAAGCGTACGAGGACGGCGTACACGCGGGCGCAGCTGCTGGAACTGGAGAAGGAGTTTCTCTTCAACAAGTACATCTCCAGGCCACGGCGGGTGGAGCTGGCTGTCATGTTGAACTTGACCGAGAGGCACATCAAGATCTGGTTCCAGAACAGGCGGATGAAGTGGAAGAAAGAAGAAGACAAAAAGCGAGGGGCGGGCAACAGCAATGACCCCGAGCAAGACTGCGTTGTGTCCTCCGGGGAGCTGCAGACCAAGGAGGATCTCCAGCCGTGCCCCGCCGGGAATCTTCCCTCGGGAGCCTCCAGGGACCTTCTCGCCCCCAGCCTGGTCCCCAGAAGGCAGCAGGACTCTCGGTGAGCCGCGGGGAGCTCCACGGCCCGGGACGAGGAAAAGGATGGGACGTGGAAAAGAGCCGAGAGGCTGGCGCCAGCTTCTCTGTGCCGTGCCGTGCCGTGCCGTGCCGTGCCGACCCACTCTCGCCTTCCCTCGGGGAAAAGCGGGGCCTTCACTCCGAAACTCGCGTCCTCCAGAAAGTAAATTTAAGATGCCCAGCTGTGACAAGGTTCGTCTCGCTGCCGCGCTAGCGCCGGACGAGGCCGCAGGGAGCTGCCGGGACGGCGGCGAGCGGGGCCCCGCTCTCCCGGGCCGCCCGCGCCTCAGCGAGCCCTACGGGAAAGCTTCCCCCGGGGAAGGTGGGTGTCAGGTGGCCACCGACGGTGTGTGCCTGCCCGGGTGCACGGAGAGGTCTGGAAAGAGGAGGAGAAGCGGGCGCTCGCTGCCTTCCCTGCCGCCGACAGCCGCTCGGTCGGAGCGCGCGTCCTGCCGCGTCCGGCGGCCCACAGGAGCGGACACGGACCCGAGTATCCCGGACCATCCACGGCTGGCACGCCGCCGTCCCCGTCCCTCCCAATCGCCCCAGGGCATCGGCGCTACCGACGACTCTCTCAGGACTGTTACTTACTTCTTTGGAAATTGGACCTGGTTTCTTTCGTTTTCTTTTGCTTTTGGGAAAGAAAGACAGGGGGAAAGAAAAAAAAAAATTAAAAAAATTAGAAAAGAAAAAGCCTACGTGTCCTGCGGGCAGGATTTGTCTCCCCCGATGACCGGCTCCCTATGACCGGCATAGGTAGCCAGACCCTCCTCCGGGCTCCGCCAGCTGCTGCGGGGACCCTGCGCTGCTGCCCGTGGCTCCGCGCCCGTCTGGGCTCCGCGGGACTCCGCGGCTCCAGGGCTGCGCTCGCCTCTTCCAGGGGTGAATGCGAGCCCAGGGATGCAGCAGAAAACGTCGCGGGTGCTCTCCGGGCAGCGAGCAGACAGCGAGATATATCTGGGGAGGGGAGAGGGTAGGGCTGGTCCCAGGGACATTGTCCTTTGGGAAAAAGCTCCTGCCTTTCTTCCAACTCTTTCGCAAGCTCGGACTCTGCCTTGGAGAGGAGAAACCTCTCTGCAGCACGAGTTCCTATCCCGGCGAGGCTCTCTGCGTGGTTTCCTACCGCAGAATTTTCCCCCAGTAGAGGCTGGGGGCCGGCTGCTTCCCGAGGCCCTGCAGAGCTCCGGGGACTTTTCCTGGGTGCTATTTTTCGGGCCGGGCCGGTGTGCAGGAGAGCTCGGCTCCTCCGGGCTGGAGCGGGGAGAGAGCCCGGCCGGGGCTTCCCTGCGGGAAGACGGGTATCGGAGTTCGTGCCGTCCGCCCCCAGCCCAGCCTGCCTTTCCTGCTTCCAGGAATAGCTCCCCCCTCCCGACAACGGCGGGGACTCCAACTGAGTGGGGAGCAATCTACAGCCGAGCTAGAAATAGAAAACCAGTTGGAAGGCAGCGGGAACTGCCCGGTTTGCTGTCGGTCAGGCAGGTCTGCCTTCTTTCCTCGACAGGGAGTTCCTGCCCCGTACCCGGCAGCAGCAACCCTCGAGCATCCTTCGGGGACCGCCGCAGGCTCTCCCGCGCTGCGGGCACGGGAGTCAGTGCCATGGGAGGAGGAAAATGAGGACAATCTGTCGCACCCTGGCCGGAGGATTTTCCCAGTCCCTCGGCTGAAAGCGACGGGAGATCAATTAGCTTGGCACAGCTCTTTGGGTTTTCTCGTTTTACGTGGAACTTCTAACACTAAGGTGGAAACTTGAACTGAAGGTGTATTTTGTCTATTGCTTTTTTTCCCTCTGGGGACATTATTATCTGTGTGCAACCAGGACTATTTCTGGTAATTTTTCCTGCAAGACGCCTGAGAAATTTATCATCTGAGCCTGCATATCCTTATTCATCAAAATGCAGTCATTGAGTGAGAACTGTTACTAATCATTATATGAGCAAAATTCAAATAAAGCTGTTCTGCTTAAGAAGCAAAACACCATATTAATTAAAGTAATATTTCTGAAACTTTTGGGGGACATGAAGCCATTCTTAAACCTCAGAACTTTTAATCACTATTCATTAACATTAACCTTCCACTGGTAACATGAAGTGGAACAATTTCCATGTACTTTTTACAACATCTGCCACAGACATTGCAATTCGGGAGCCACTGTAAAAACAGATCCAACTGAAGAAAGGATGTCTTTCACACAAAATACCTCGATTTTATTCTAAGATTTGTTGAGCACATTGCCCGCCTGTCCTTGCTTTAGTATAGTGCATTCAGTTTTGATTTTCTTTGTGCACAAAAGAAAACAAAAAAAAGTGCATAATTAATGTGAATCGCTTGGCCATGGTGCCAAGGTGTTTTTATTAGTAGAAGCAGAATCAGAACTGCATGGTTTAGTTTTAATGAATAAAGTATTTTTCTTCTAAGAGCTGACATAGTTTCTTCAGCACTTATATTTTTTTACATATATATATACCCTTTTCACAACTGTACCAATGGAAAAATTAACATTAACTAAATCAAGACAGCTCTAGGACCCAGGGATAAAGATTCACAGCAGCTTCACCTGACAGAACAGCCAGCCCTACACAGTGCTGTGGAAAGGCAAGGCTGACATGGAGAGTTATAAAGCCACTGGAGCTCTTGAGCCATGTCACCTCACCAAAACCAGTTGTCCAGATATATTCACATACCTAGGAGACATCTCCCCTTATGAAATAGTTTATGATTTATTTGTAATCACCTTTAACCCTAGGAGAGCAAATCCATAAAACTACTTTTAAAATTAGACATGAGATAATGAAGTGCGAGACATACTTTTATATCTTTCTTGGGCAATAGTGAAATATTTTAGGCAGGCATGGGAGAAGTATGTTCCCAAAATTGTATATGTTCAGTGTTAATTATTTGAAGGAAAAGCTGAGCAAGATTCAGCACAGTTTTCCTGTCCCTGGGTGCACCTTGCCATGGCATCCATCCCATCCGGAACTATGGAGACATCAGTTCTATCTGTGGCTTCAGGCAAGATAGTGAGGCTGAGAGTCTTGATTGAGCTTTGCAAAGGCGACACCTTTGCTGATCCTACTTTGCTCAGATCCATCCCTCAATGCTGCAGGGAAAGTGCTCTTGTCCTGCTTCTGCCATCCCATGCAAGACCACAGGGCAGGACCTCTCCTTCCCCAGGCAGGGCTGAGCACCCGAGTGAATGGAGCATGGCTGGGCAAACCCTGGCAGCAGCTCGGGGCTGCTGTCACACCAGGCCAGACTCTGCTGCCCACCCTGCCTTACCTTACCAGCAGGGTCATGTCCCACAGTCCTGCAGCAATGGCCATGTGAAAAGCAGGATTGCAAGACTATACCTGACTCCTCTATTACAAACCTATATTTCAATCTGACAATCTCTCCATTTATGGATAATTACACCCATAAAACAATATTGAAAGCAGTGATTTCACCTAAGGTGTGAAAGCCTTTCCAGTCAGGCACTGAAGGCTGCTACCTCCCACTCTGAGGGCTGCTGCTGCTGCCACAAACACAGCTGAAGAGAGATGTTGCAGGCTGAGAGATGAAATATTGCTCAGAAAGGCTTTGGTGCTTTGAAGTGCAACCAGGAATGGGATGCCAGCCCTGCAACCACCACCAAAGCAGGGCCTTGTGGCCTGGGCAGTGCACCTCATGGTCTGTCCTCCACCCAGGGCAAAGGTGGCTGAGGGCTGTGTTTTGTTTCAACGCTTGTTTTGGGAGCAGAAAGAAATGCCCTTCACTTGTTATAGCTTAGAGACACCTTTACACATTAGCATAGGCAAGCCATGCAAACACACACGCATGCACATGGCTTCCAAAAAACTGTGACTCAGAAAGGCAATACCTTTACTGCTTTTTTTTTTCCCTGGATGGGGATAAGAATGGCCAGATCTTCAGGGATACTTTTTACAGCAATCAAGAAGAAATCTAGGGAGGACAATGAAATGAAATTAAATGAAATTAAATGAAATTAAATTAAATGCAGGTGAAATGACAATGAGATGTGGAAACCCTGCAGTGTCTCTGTTAGTAATGAATGTTATCTACTTTTACCTACCCATTATTTACATTCATTTAACATTTATCATCACTGTTCCTGTCTCACTGACTTCCAGCACCTTTTCCATGCACTATGCCAGCACCAATGTGCCCCAGTAGTGCTTTTACTGCAAGGGCAAAAAACAGTGGAGCAAAGAGGAAAGTGCTTGGAGGCAAGGCTTCTCCTAATATTTGCCTTTCTACATCTCTTCTGCTCCCACCATTTACTGTCCTGGTATGTAGCTCCTCTGTTCCCCAGCACTTTTGGGATCACAGTATATGCAGGAACAAATACAATGCAGAGGAAATGAGCTGAGTGCCTCTCTCCCCAGCGTGCCTCGGTGATGAATCAGGCCTGGCCAGCCTCATTCATGGAGTAGGAAACACGTGGTTCCCTTACTATAAGGTCTGACGCACTTGCTGCCTCATATCAGGGCTTGTTCCAGAAATCATTTGCTTCCAGCAGCAGCACCACTGCAAGGAGGAGAGACTGCACTTGTGCTTCTTCTGCATGAGGTGCTTTTAGGCATATAGACAGGAGCCCTCATGTCTGGTTCCATCCACCAGAATTCACTGGTCAAAAGAGGCAGGTGCCTTTTCAAACAGGCATATAGTTCACAAAAAAATCCCAAAATAGATTGAATGAGAAGAAACTCTGGAGATGTAGGTGAACTGGACCAACAAGGCAAGAAGATTGCAATGACCACTGCAAAAGCAATGCATTTGCTAAGGAGCACTGGCAAAGAAGGAGTTGCTTGGCTTTGTCTCATAATGGGAACAACAAGCTGCTGCTGACAGTGGCAGCTTAATTTTCTCCCTATTCTTTGACCCAGACCCAGGAGGAGAAAAGCATCTACTCAAACAACGCTTGGCAGAGTGATTTAAAATTCAAAAGTAAAATACATCCATCAGGCTCAGAAAGCAGAGGGTGCAATGG